CCCGCTGCTCTCGCTACTTCCTGCTGTACTTCGTCACCTTCTGAAGTACCCTCTCCTTTCCCCCCATCCCCAAGCACAAAACACGAGCTAAGTTCGTTGTCGTACTTTCTTCCATCCTAAACGCGCACCCTACCTCTTGCCGTACCTGTCCGGCAATGGACGTCGGCATTTTTTTTGTTCACTTTTGCCCACCATTAACATCTGATTCTCTTTTCTCTTCCCCTCCCGCTTTCCCACCCCTGTAAAACGCACACAACCCAAACCCAAACTCAAACCCAAACCCTCCTCCCCCCTTCAGCCGCGCACCTGACTTTGGCCCCGCCGTTCAGTGTCGATTTGAATTACTGCGGACTTGGGACCGCCAAGTACGAGGACCTGGACCAGGTAGGGGGGTGAGGGGGATTGCGAGGGGTAGTTCACGCTGAAAAGTGTGTATGTGTGTTTATATGTGGTGGTGGTGGTGGGGAAACGAGGTTCCCCGTTGCACCCCTGACTCTGCGCAGTGGAATTTGCGGGTGTCACATGGCCCCTTCTTTCCACCCTTTGCCCGCCGCCTCCTGAACAGGTGGTTGCAGAGTTCGTTGAGCCGCTGGTTCAGAACTGCATGGCGGTTACCAGTCACAGGTGGGTGTGGGTGTATGTGTGTATGTGTGTATGTATGTATATGTGTGTGGATGTGGACGTGGATCTGGATTCTAAGCTGACTGGGACTTATGGTCGTGGTTGCGTACCCAGGATATGCCATCTGCATCTTTTCCTGCCTTGCCATCTGTCCTCGATCCGTACCTGTTTATCTGTCTGTGTGTCTGTCACTGGCACATCTGGACATACAGGAAGTACATGGATGCGGCCCAGGCGGTGGTTGAGGACCGAATACGGCAGGAGAAGCAAGCCAACCCCAAAGTCCATCCGTACTACCTAACAATACACAAAGTGCGTCGGAGGGGGGTTGGGGGTCGGGACGCGGCGTCAGCCCCGTCTCATATGGACACATGTACATACGTACGTACGTACATACACACATCTCACACGGTATGCTGGCCTTTCCCCCCCTGCCAACCCCCCTTTCGCTTCCCCCCTCGCCCCCCGCCCCTCACTCCCCCACCCTCACTCCCCACCCTCACTCCCCCACCCTCACTCCCCCTTCACTCCCCCACCCTCACTCCCCCACCCTCACTCCCCCACCCTCACTCCCCCGCCCTCAACCCCCCTCACTCCCCCACCCTCACTCCCACCCCTCACTCCCCCCCTCACTCCCCCACCCTCAACCCCCCTCACTCCCCCACCCTCAACCCCCCTCACTCCCCCCCCTCACT